GCATTCAGTCTACTATATTTCCAATACGAATAAATTAGGAAAGACTCAGTTCCTCAGGCAATCTATACTCCGTCCATATATCTTCAAAGAAAGAGTGATTCTTATAAAGCTGGCCAGTCTGGTAGTCCGATTCTTCAGAAGGTAGAAGTCACCCTGACTCAAGCTAGGCTGTTTTTAGGTACCGAAATTTTCATCAAGAATAGAGCATGCTATTCCTTTCTGACGACAGTCAACCATAAACTCGTCATCCACTCTGTGTATTGAGAAATATTATTGTTTATTAGTAGTAATTCTTCTTTGGAATCTATATCATGACATTTTTATGGCTGGTTAATTAGTTGGCGAAAATAATTGGGGTAGCGATTCTGACGCTAATGAACTAGTACAGGAAAAACTTCGAGAATGTCTTACATCATGCTAGAATATTCTGGAATATCCTGGGGGACAGTAGACTTGCAGGTTCCTTAATTCGATACAAAAACTCTGTGAAGGTTGAAGGTTATATCGCCCATGAAAGGGGTGGCCTGAGTAGATAAGATAGGGGATTTGAACCCCGGAACATGCGTGTATGATAATTCCACCGTTGCCACTACGCCACCTCCACCTGAGTGAGTATGAATGCAATGAATTTTGCTNAAAAAACAGTGATGCTTTTTGTACCGAAGCCAGACAACATGTTTTTATATTGTTGTTTTACGCCTTTCCACCGACATCCCATGAAGGATGCCGTGGATGCCGTTAGGGCCCCAGGGGCAAATGCTCTACCTAGCTGGCTGGCAATGTCATTCCATATCCGCCTATCAAGTTTCGTGAAACCTTTTAAGTCCGCCTTGACTTCTCCCGAATCCCCAGCTCTGGAGAAACGGCCTAACCAGTGTAGACATATCTGGCAGATGCCAATAGTACCCTCCCTCAACCCCCTTCCCCTTTCGTATCGGATTCGTCGAATCCTTCTCTGAGATATTGCTCATAAAGAAACTCTCATGAATCTTTCTTTTCCCATCCTTGGCAAACCTCATTTCCTTCTAAGGCCTGGCTGATGACCTTCAACGTTGTCGCTCTTTCCCCACATCAGGGCATATTGCTAGATGGGAATATTGTCCAGTTTTTCACGAAGGATGAAGCGGAATTTATTGTTGTCCGGTGGTGTGCGTCTATGTGTGTGTGGATGAGTGCAGAAGCTACGTGAAAAACCTCAAAACCCATTTGCTCCAAACGTTGTTGCCCAATGTCGAATTGTCGTTGTGTTCCTTCATTCCCTCTCCCTCCACATCTTTTCCCATATGCGACAAGAGCTCCACATTCACACTGGCATCAATTTCGCCTCATATCGACGTCCTCATTGAAAATTCCCAGCAACACACACACTCACCATGTACGTCTACTTGACGCCTAATGAGCGTTGACCGTAATCACGATCCAAACAGGGTAATTACCGCCTAATAGCCGTTTTCCATTACACGTTTACCTTTTTTGGTTGAAGGACTTCTTCATGCTTTCTGCTATGTCCCCTTCCGATGCTTCCTCGTGATATGAATGTCTGTCAGAAAACTGAAACGCCAGTTTTTCTGAAATGTCAGTAACAGATTGCTCAAGAGATCTCTAATTAACCTGCAATATGTCGATGGTTTAAACACCCATGCAATACATAATTGTATCGTTAGATATAATGTAGAATATTTTGAATTCATACATTCTGCTTCACATTAGTAGATGAAGGAGTCCAATGCCCTAGAGGGTTGTTCCAAGTGTTGTTTGTTTAGATACCATTGAATAGCATCGGAAGCTACGTGGTGCTCGTATAGTGTTATTACATGAAAATAGTTTATCATACTGTGTCCTATGTTTTTCGCTCAATAATTTGTGCAGTAATCGATACATATGCTAATTTAATAATTGCTTTAATTCGAACCCTCCGAATCACTCCTGCTTTCCAACATTCCCATTTCTAATGACGAATCCCGTAGTTAGTAGAAACTGTTCTAAGAATGAAAAGGCCGATATCCGATATCCGAGCGCAATCCAATACCCAAGTCATCATTTTCAATCAACTGGATGAGTTCTGAGAGGCTATTTCTTTCTTCTCCCACATGTTTTTCTCGTGATTTGGAGCAAAAACAACCTTAACACCGTTTAGAGCCTTCTGTTGACGTATTTCCTCCTTGCTGTCAATGCAACTTCTTTGCCTAGTTTCTTTCGGTGAGTATTAAGGTGCTAAATCTCTCCTTATCTTTGTTGGAATATCGCATCACTTGGGGTACTTAGAAGTTATAAAAAACTCTTTTGGTGAATCTCAACAATTCTTCAGAATTTTTGCTCGTGTTTGTGATTTTTGATCATTCGGTGATTCACTGATTGCTAAGCCCCATCACTTGGTGAAATATCACACCGCTTAATGAATAAACCAATGCAAAAGGTCAAAACTGGGGGCTCTTGAAACGCAGGGGCAGTAACCCGAAACTAACAATGAAGTCATATTCCCCGAATCTTCAGTCTGCAGTAATAACAACAAACAATAATAACACCGATAACACAATACAATAACATAGTAGTAAACAGTTTTTCTCAACTCATTCAGACTTTAATGCAGCTGCTAAGATCATTCGCGGATAGAATAGCTAACTTCCGCTCTAGCAGCTCGTGAGAGTACATTTTCGCGACAATTTTCGGGAGGGAGCCGTCTGATTTAATTTTGTTTACTATGTATCTCTCTAACTCTGCTAACAAGAGATAGACCTACGATCTACTCAAGAGGGAGGGTGTCATGCATTAGTTTGATGCAGTGTAATCAAAAGTGTTTTGCAGTTGTTCGTGATTTTATTAACGGTCAATTTGCTCGAGTATCGCACTCTCTCGATTCGATTTCCATGTTTGTTCAGTTTCGGATCGACCCCTGTCTGTTACAGTATGAGATGCGATAGTGAGAAGCAGTATTGGACCTGAACAAGATTAGACTTCTTCTGCCATCTAGTTACCATGGACAGAGCCAAGAGAAGGTAATTGTCGCATGTTTTGTCAGTAAAAGTTGTCATTTTAGCTGATATGGGGTTTAAGGTTTGCGTCTGCTCTCGATGGTTTACGATCATTCGCCAATCGCTTGGAAGTGGCAGTAGACGAGAAAGTCCAACCAGAGAACTGCTGCTTTTCAAAGGTACCCGCGCTACTTTCTTTTGTAGTGAAAATTTCTGTTTGTTTTTCTATAGTTTGTTTATGATATTACTGCTTATTTATTCTTGTTCCCTCATTATGGGAAAATTTGCTTCCTAGTGCAGTATCTATCGTAAGTTCTCTAACATTGGCTCTCAAAGCCAAGTATTTCACGATCTAGTAATATTTAGCTTGAATCCGTCATCGTGTGTTATTTCGGTATTCCTCCCGAGCAGTGGATAGCTAGGATTTTTTTTATTAAGATCCACACCGCTTTCCTAAGAAACAGCGCCCTCCTTTCTTCTCTGTGCATAATAAGGAGGATTATGAGTAGTGGGAAGTTTGCTTGCCATTAGGACTCTTTGGTCGTGTTTGCCCATTGAAATGTGCACTAGAAGTGCACAACAAGGCGCTTAAGCTTCCCATTCAAACGAGCTTTTACGAATGGATGGTTAGAAGGTAGCAGTGACTCGGTAAAGTTGAATTCCATTGAATACTACAAACTTTGACAATAGGGAAAAAGTTTGAAAATAAGGCGAAGGGAGTAATTAAGATGGCATCGCTGAATCTAATCAGATGAAACAAGTGAGAAATTGACCGCGATCGTTTTTCAATTCTTTCCTTCATTTATTAGGAAAAATTCAGAGAAATGAAATCTTTAATCGTTCGTTTTCCCGTTCCGTACAGTTCTCTTTCCGTTTCTGACCGTCAGCTGAATTATCGTAATAACCATTGAGTAAGTTTTAAAATATAATGGACGTAATTCATTCGGTCGCCAAGTGTACAGCAGTATTTAACTGACGCCTCTTACGTTTTTTTCCTTACCAGGACCCATCTATGGCTGGCTTAGCTGCTGAATTGCAGCGGTTTATGGTGCCATCGTAACTCTCCTCGATATTTTTTATGTCCTTTGTTTTGGCCGTTCGAATATGCCCTCTCCGTAGCTGTTGTTATTATTGTTGTAGAAGACGGGCTTTGATTAATGCCATTATTGTTGCTGTGAAACCGGCTCCAGCGGCATGAGACGCATTAATATCTTAACTACTGGGGAATTCCACGAAGCAATAGAAACTAAATGCTCCCCTTTCCGGTAAGCAATAAATCTCGTGGATGACGTTACGCTGTCATTCAGATTTCCTTCTTATCAGACAGAGTTGCACTCCAGCTATATTATGTACGATGTTAGTTCGCGGAAGGAAAGCTGTATCACTGTAGTTACGCGATCGATGATACCTTTCTTCCTTTATGCACAATAATTTTGGCATGTAAACACCCTGATGTTCACAATAAGAAACCCAGAATCCGCGACAATTCATGAATAACTGGCATAACCTGGTTTGCCTTTTCATGACATACATTGCCCCTTACCACTGGGCACAATCTTCACTAAAGAAAATTGCTAACAAAGACGGCTGAGATGTCCTGGAAGTTTCAAGGCTACGGTACCGCCAATTTTACATTTTAATATAGAGAGAAAATTAATTTGGTAGGAGACGAGGTGAAGTATCAGAGAAAAAGATTTTTTCAAGATTTTGGAACTTTGCTTTAATATTTGAGATCCCTGCTCGACAGTAAAGTTTTTTTCACCTTCAAGAATAGGTCATTACTGCTGGAGAATAGTTCTCAATTGAATTCGTCAGTGAAGAACAACTTCTTTCGCTTCACGTGCCAAGGAAAGGCAGAGTTCCTTATCTTGCTTCAATATTCTCGACTGAAAGCACATTATCAAGATGACTAGTTATGGGCTATGTACGAAAATTCGTTTCAACCACTGGGGTAGAGCCCTAAGCTCCTTCCACTTTCATCGATGCTTGCTATGAGGCTGACAGAAAGGCAAATACTAGCTCTGTATATATAGAATATTGAATGTTTCCATCATGAGCTAATAATTCTAGCAGAGCCTTTCAGATCTCTCATTCTCCTCACTTCCTAGGGCTCGCCCACAGGCTGATATTTTCACCGGTGCAAGGATGATGTAATAAAAATTCCTGAGAAAGTTCTAGTAAAGTAGTGCTAGAAAGAATGGAGCAGGGAGCGCGACTATAAAAGGGAGTCTTGAAACTAAACTAGAGCTTTCCGTTAAATTGCTTATTGCACCTTTCGATGGCTTTTAATAATGAATTTTTGTGGGAACCACAGTGATTGGTAGCCCCTGTGAAGATATTTCTTACTATGGTGAATTTCAGCTTTTCGATTAGGCGCCGCTCTTATCCATAGTTCCAAGGGGCTTCGATAGAGTGGAACCCCAACTATATCAGGTAGAATGTCAGCTGTTGTGACAGCCCTGAATTCATTTTCAGCTTTACATTCTACAAACAACGGCTGCGCTTTTCCGCTCAAAGGGTTTTCTTTGCAAAACGATTGCATATGCAGATTTCGCTGAATAAATTGAATCGATAAAATAAATACTGGGAAAACAAACTGTTTGGGAAAACAGTTGGCGGGCTTCGAAAGCCCCTGTGTATATGGCGCTAAATAAAGAATTGGAAGTTTGCTCTCATCATTGGCTAGTACTTCATTTTTACAGGTCGTGCGTCATGGACTTCCAGATGATGCACGTTGTCTCGCTTACGATCCGGTACAGCGCTTGTTAGCTATAGGAAGTGGGCATGGAGTTGTTAGAGTTATAGGTAGGTAACTACGATTTTTAGAATAGTTTTCCGCTTTCAGGTTCTTTCTCTTGTTGGAAACAATTTATGCAAGCCCATGTGTTTTTACCATTGAATATAGACTGTGATCATGGGTGTAGTCAGAATTGCGCCATTTGGCTAGTTCTGATGTCAGAGCTTTGAAAACCTAGTAGTATTCCAACTTGTTAATCAGTGCTTACGATTTCATGAGCAAATGCGTTTTGCATTGGTTATCCTTACGTCATCACTTTCGCAGACGATATTGCGAGCACCAAATTCAATGCATATTAATCCCATGTATATTCATGAGCTTCGCCTTTGATTTTTGAAGATAATTTCGCATGTTTAATGGTGATTTTATTGAAAATTCGGTTGCGTGCTTAACTACAACTAGAAAGTTTTTTCTTTCGATGAAATTGGTTTCGTACTTTGTGAGAATCTGGTTTCGTAGTCCAACAATTTGTACAATTTCGACTTTATCAGGGAATTTAATTTAGGTGACGTAGGAGTAGATTTTGCCTTAAAACACGAGACGGATCACGCCGTCAATCATGTTCAGTTCCTTATCAACGAGGTAAGCCTCCCATTTGGAAGTATTCTGCTGAGATTCCAGTAAATCCGAGTTTACAGGGTCGTCTGGTCACAGCTTGTTCTAATGATATTATACATTTATGGGATTTTCGTCAGAAAGTTCCAGAAGTAAGACTTATTTCAGTGTTGTTTCACGTCTGCAGACAACAATTTACATTGTTTTCAGATTATACGGAGTGTCCAGCTGAACAAGGAAGCGGTTACATGTATTCATTTACCTATGAGTAGTAAATGGTTATACGTTGGCACGGATAAGGTGATCAAGGATTCAACACCAGTTTCTTTTTGGTTGCTCGAAAATCATTTCATGCAACAGTCCATTTCCAACAATCTGTTTGTTTAGGGAAATGTATATTTTGTTTCTATTGCAACATTTCAATTGAGCCCGTATATCATTAATTGGAATAAAGCTATTGACTTGTAAGTTTTCGAATTCAATAGTTTCTTAGCTTTTACTCTTTTCTTCTCCTTCACTCGCTTTCAACCTTTTGTCTTTGTTACAGGAGCTGTCGGGTACATCCTGGATCTGTCAGGCAGATAGGTGTTTCTCCTGTCGAACCAGGCAAAATTCTTATTGCATTCGATAAAGGCATTCTTGTGCAGTGGAATCTCGCTACAAAAGAAGTCGATCGTTTCCCGTATGATCCGCCTATAAAGTGTTTCAGGCAAGAGTTTCCATAATGGTTTCATTGGCTGTTTTGTATGTTGTTGCTATTTGTATTTGTTTGCATTATTTTCATGTAAACCGTTTGAGCTAAGAATGCTATTGTTCTAGCTGGCACTATGAAGGTAGGATGATAATGACAGGAAATGTGGATGGATCCATCTCTGTATATAATATGAGAAAGACCAGTGAGTTCCTTGAAGTGCATTGTTTCCCCCACCCTCAAAATACATCGACAACGTTTTCAGCCGAACCACAGCAACGAACTTCCCCACATGGACAAGGTCCTTGTCGACCCATTAACGCCATAGACTGGAAGCTTACGTCTGACGGAGATCAGTTTGTCATCTTCTCTGGCGGTAATTCTTGAAATAATGGCTAGGTATTCGTTACCCTTTCCAGCAATTTCACCTTCACATTCTCTAAGGTATGCCGACTGAAGATGGTTTGCCTGTCCCTGCGCTCACCTTTCTCCGTGCCTCCAAATCGGCTACCGTTCTTGAGATGGAGCACCCGATATTATCATTCGTTACTCTTCCAAATGTACGTATGCACTCTTCAGAAAAACGATAACCTCTTTTTAGTGACTAAAACTATTTGAAATAATCCTGTTACTCTCTTTGCAGATTCCCTTCACATCGTGCCCGCAGCAGCCGCAGGCATTAGCAGTTTTGATGAAAGGAGAGTTGTTGATGCTCGATTTACTGACGGCTGGGTATGAAGTGTTTACCGATTACGTCGCTTTACATTTGCCATCTTCTACTTTTATATAAACTTTTCGAAGTATCACTGTGACTTTATAAGCAGTTGCTCTTTGTAGGTATCCCTGCATCGAATCACCGCATGCAATGGACCTGCACGAAGTTCCCGTAACTTGTGTCGCGTACTATTCAGATTGTGCCAGTGACCTCATTGGAGCCATCACTCTAGTTGGCTGCAAGCAAAGAAGGAAAGGATTCAGCGAAAAGGTGATATAATTGTCATTATTCTTATTATGTATTTTGAGCGACTGAATAGCAAATTAGCTCACATATATTTAGTTGAATAATTCATGTTACAGCCATGGCCAGTAAGTGGAGGAATTGGAAGGGAATGTGCTACAGGTCACCAAGAACTGATTCTTACTGGGTTAGATGAACTACCTCGTGTTTTTCTTTGGTTTACGGATCCTCTTTATGTTTTCTCACCGTAATCGCTTACTAAATACTTCCAGGCATAAGGACGGTTCTGTACGTTTTTGGCAAGCGTCTGGAGAAAATCTACAATTTCTGTACCGTCTCAAAACAACATCCCATTTCGAGCGACTAGAAGAATGGGAAGGTTGTGAAAAGGTTTCCCATGCTGTAAAATCGATCGAGCTCTGCGTTGATGTAAGGGCCTTCTTAATACGGTTTTTCCCACATCTTAAGATATATATCAATTGCGTGTTTTAGTCTCGGCTGCTTCTTGTATGTGGCGTCTCTGGGCAAGTTACACTGTTCCGTTTTACGAAAACGGAAAGTACGAACACTATAGCGGTAAGGAGATAATGTCCCTAAGTCCAATTTGATGCTAGACGACCGGCATTCAGTTAATTTTTTACGTATGCAACAGCCCCTAATTATATGAAATTAAGGTAGTGCATATACCTCAACCCAGTGCATCGTCGTGTAATGTTAGTGATGAGCGTTCGCCTCCTGTACCACCACCAAGAGAAATACGCAGGCAAAAGAAGGTAGCTGTCTTTTTTTTAAACTTGTCAAGTATTTCGCTTTGCTCAAACTTGAATTCGAAAGATTCGAATTTTCCGCTTACTCCTGTTCAGTAGGGAATTATCACATTCTGTAGCATTGGTGTTGGTCGCTTGAGTTGGCAGAAACCACTCCTCAATATACTTGCTTGTTACTTTGCCGAAACTTGGGTTGCAATCTCATCATCTTTGCTTCTACCACCATTGCCCTTTCACTCACTCATTCTTTCATTTATTCATTTGATCTTTCTTTCTTTTCGTGTGCAATAACTGCTCCAGATTGCATATCTAATCGACTCTTTAAGCAGCATCCATATTTTGATAATTTCAGATTGTAAGCCGTGATTCAACCAATAGTCCAGACACCAGTGATGCATCAGGAGATGAGTGTGTCTTCCCTTTCAAAGTTCGAGGAGCACCTGTGAAACGTGCCGCAGGATACCAGGTAGGTTTCTGATTTTTTTTTATTCTGGGAAGTGAAAGAATTATATGAACAGTCTTCATATGGTTCTCTTGAATCTGTATGTTGAATACGCTCTACCTTATTGTGCCTCTGATTGACCCTTGCAACATTTGTGAGACAAGCTTACCTACGCGTATCAAAATGATTAATTATCTATCCTATCGTACACACATCTTCATAATTGGCTCATAAATGTTGTAATTGCTAAACAGTACTGCGACCTAATCACAATTTTATTTCAGCCAGAGCTCGCTTGTCTTGTTCCATGGCCGTCCCCGTCTCAAGCGGACTCTGTGACAACTACAGCACTTAATTCTGCATTCGGTGTTATCGCCCTCGGTAAGCATCTCAATTATTTTTCATGATCACTGTTAGTGAGGATATACGTGCTGAAAGGTAAGAAGTTTGTGTAGGTAAGAAAGGACTGGGTTTATCCACTTCAAGAAAAAAATCACTAAAAAATTAACAGGAAATCACAGGATGAAACTGCGGTATTGGATGCATGTTTGACACATAACAGAAAGGGTAAACGATAAAAGTAAGAGGGAAAGACGAAAAGTTGCAAACCAATCAGCTGTACAGTACGAAAAGTTATGAAGGGCGATGAAGATAGGTGAGTAAAAAGCAGATGAGAGTCTTGAATAAAGAGATTAAAGTTGAAATCAAGTGAGATGCACGGAGAGGTGGAAAATTAAGAGGGCAGGCAAAAAGGCTAGTCGGAACCTACGGTACTGCGAGTAATGGCACAGTAATGTGCAGCTATTGGGGTAGTGTGCACTTCGATCAAGCTGTGCTATCGGCTGTTTTGTTTTCCAACTTCGCTTGAAAATAATACGGTAATTATGCTGCGGCGACCGAATAAAATATCAAAGGATGTGCTCAATGCTGTACGAAACTATTTTAGGCTTATCAAACGGCTTGGCTCTGGTCGATATTGCCCAGTGTGCTTTGATATACGCATGGACTACTTCAGAGTTGTATGGATCTGACCCTACGCCTGCTATTCAGTTGCAGGTCGCTGATGTTTCCTCGCCGAGTCCAGTTGAGGTGCGCGAATCTTTGTTTTGTTTGACTCTTCAACTTACTATCGGTGCAGTGCCCATTTCGTTTTAACGCTTTCGGGAATTCGGGGCTACTTGCGTTACGGTCTATAATTGCTTGAAGTTACCTAAATTTCTGTCGGAGTAGCACCTCATCCATGTACGAGATATTAAGCGGCGATTCGGTCAATCATTGTGTGGGGCTTAATAACTTTTTCGTGCTAAATCAGTCCCTACATAATTTTGCTCTTACGAAACATATCCTCTGTAGCTTCAATATCCATTTTTCAACGAAGAAAGTTTTATTTTTCTCAGTGTTTCATCACTTCATTTTGATCTTCACTATTGTTTTTCATGCAGCAAAAATCTCGGAAACTTTAATCGGCCACCAGCAATGAGTAGCATAGGTTGCCTATCAGGGTTCCTGACTTAATCAGAGTTGGTGAGTTGGGGATTTGGGCTAAGTTCGCTCTATACTCTTGACAATGCTACTTTTGATGTAGTTAAAACGATAAGAAGGATCTCGCACTTTTTTATGAGAATTAATGAACACGGAAACATTAACTTATACATTTTCTAAAGTCCTCACCTTTCTTCTAAGTCAGTGGTTTACGCATTTTCTAGAATGCCCGAATATATACAATGTTGTTTCGTCTTGTTGAATTCTGCTTTTGTCACCGTTTGCGATTCGAACGTTCTAAGAGAACGCTGCGTTATGGGCAAACGATCAGTTCCAACGGGAGCTCTGAATATGTTTCGCGGCAAAGGTGTGAGATCGAGTTCCGTTCGAGGCCGTATTTTTTGCCCATGACACAGTGTTCAGATCAATGAGGTGCTGCTCCGGCTTTTATGCCATGCTTGAGTGTGCTTATGCATTTTGTTGTTGTGATTGTGGTGTGTCAAGTTTATAGCTCGAGCAGCATAATGAGGATGAGGAAATGGTGCGGTCATCAGATTCAATCTTCCATCGAAAATCTTTGTCACCGAAGCCTGCTGGAAGCAAAGCCACATCCGTGTTTCGACGGAACACTGCTGAGTTCGCCAGTACAATACGTGAACGCTACCAGGACAAAGGACTCCTGAAGCCAGATCGACCATCGGTTACTGGAGAGGCTACGGCTGAGGATGACACAACATTCCGACAACAACGCTGTCACTCCGAAAAGTCGTCAACCGGATCCATAGGCATCATGCGACGTCTAACGAAGAAAGGGACGGCAGTTGCACGAAGCTTTTCGTTTCACTCCCACGTACACGAAGGTTAGTTTGTGTTGAGTGGTTTATATACTTATTTTGTGGCACAGTCCAATCAAGAAAATGATTTTGAGGTTCTTTCTCTGAGCATATTCAACTCGGTAGGTGTTGATTGTGGTGGGGTGGAGGAAGTCTCATGGTTATTGGGATACCTTAAACGTTCTGAAGATACCCCTCGCAATTTCTTATGATTTCTCGAACTGAGCGCATACCTTATTTCGCACTGCCCTGGAATTAAAACGTTATTACTGAACCTGTGAGATAAAGAAAATGATTTTCGAGATTGGTCTGTGCAGTCGAGTTTTTTGAAACCGCTATATATCGTTTTTTGTAATGGAGCAGAATTTATTCCGTCATTGCCCGACCCTATCACTTCTTATTGCCCCCCTTTCTTGTGCTTACATTCTTGTTTCTGTGGTTGGTGTTTTCCGGTCGCTGTACTTTCTTGGTTCCCGTTTGGTGGTTGTGGGCTTTTTGTTTTTTNTTTTTTCTTAGACCGTAGTTTTCTAGGTGTAACTCATGTTCGCTCAACCTTGCAGTATTTTATGGAAACTTGATCCGTACGTAGAAGTATTCCGTAGAGAATCCGTTTTTGTCTATTTGTGAAATGGAAAGACCGTTAACGCTACGTATCGCCACAAGGCGACAGTACTGTCCTCAACATTACAGTCATCATTATCTGAGAGAAACCAGTTGGTACGGTTGAATACGGATTTCCGTCAGAGGTCATTCGACCGACGTCCATTGTTCAAGGCTCATTCTCTCGTCGCTCCCGATCAGTGCAATGGTGGAAGCACACGAGGTATACTTTTTGTCTATGGTGTGCTTTGGACTTGCTTTCATTGGAACGGTATTGTTCTCTTCGGGTGTGGGCTTACTTCATCGACTGGCTTGGACTTTTTTCTAAACGCGAAGTGTATGTGGTGGTCGCTGCTGATTTATGCTTTCACATTTCTGGGGGAATCGAGCAAAATCCAGGTGCTTCATTGGATCAGTGCTACATTGTGATAACTGTTGTAAACTTTTGCTTTTAACTTTCGACACGCCGTTGAGGATTTCAGCCCCTCTATCTTCGTTGTTCTAGTGAAACGTGCATGTCAACAGGCTCGACTTCTCTGTTAACCATCGTCGACGTCGTTTTCTTCATTCAACTAACTCTGGTGTGATTTTTGGGTCGGCGTATGTAGCTTGCGTTTAATTGTGTAGTGATACAGTGGCTGTAACAGAGAGCAAATTAAAGGATGTTTGCTTGATGACATGCGTCTTGTCATTTATTTACGCTCCCCTTGCTGCTTGTGACTGCTAAACAATTTGCTCGTATGCTCTCTAATCTTCTGTTACTCAGGTGATACTCCTCGTGATTCGCCTACCCTCAATAAGAGTCGTGAAACAATTGGCGTATCGCCATCGACTTCGAACCACAGCTTGGATAAACTCACCGTAAATGGCGGGGAATCTGTCTCCTCGACTACATTTATTCACTCATTTTCTCGCCGAAATGGTAAGTAATTTTATTTTCAAATTTTCTTAAACCGCTAACGTGTGTGTTTCCAGATAACCGAGTCGCCCCGTGCCTTTGGGTCGGTACGAGTGCTGGAACTTCAATCGCGCTGAATCTGATTCTCCCTCAGGATCGATTGGTTTCTACGGTCGTCGTAGCACCTTCAGGTTTTTATCTTTGCATTTTCTGTTTAAGTTTATTTTGCTGTCAATCTTTGCATAAGAATACGATAAAGAAATGTCCCAGATCTATTTCAGCTTTTGATGACAGTAAGTCAGTCAAAGACATTAAGCATCTGCGCTTTCTACACCGTTTGTTCTCTATATATTGCTATTCTGCTTATCGTAGCTTTTAGTAAATACCAGACCATGAGATTTGTTAATTTTTCAAAAGTCTTTTATGTTCACTTCCGTTTTTCTTTCAAGAAAAGTGGTCGCAACTGCTTCTATTTTTGTTATTGGCATATGTATATGTGAAACCTCACATGGGAGAATGCTTTTGAAATTTTATTGCACATTCCTATCCCTCTTTACCTATCTCTCCATTTTGCTTGCTTTGCTATCACTGTTTTCTTGAGCTTCCCTCAGGCTTCCTTTCTGTCAGCATTTCATTTTCATTTTTTTTCAAGTAGAGCTTACCCATACGTTCAGCTCCAGTGAAGGTGTTCGGAACAACCAAGGGTATGTGTTGTGCATGTGTTGATTCATTGAAAAGAAAACAAAGTTCCAAGATTGCTGAAACTTTCTGCATGATATTAATAGGGACAGTCATATGTTTGTGTGCTTCGAACCTGTTCTCTGATAAGTATGTTAATCCTTTTCGATTTTGGGAATCTTTTGCATGTCCTCCCATCTGGTATAGGTTTATTTGATGATTTCAAGATCATGAAAATAAGGGGCTGATGGGATGTCTGACCTGAACTATTTGGCTACAGTTTGATAAAGAACATCGTGAGTTATGCAAAGGCGGTCAATAAAACAATTTCGGCAAGGAATAAATTCGTAAATTGGATTTCAATGTTGATTCAGTCGCTCTTCGAAACTTACACAAACATATGGCAACCGTTTTTCCCTAGTGATGAATATTTTCAAAGATCTCGGAAGTTTGCTCATCGTGTCGTCCTGTCTGGGCATGTGTGTCTCCCTGTGATTGTCCCGTTGACTACTGTACCCCCTGCATAGCAATTTTGTAGTTTTTTTAGTATTAATGTCCTGTAGAGTAATTTTTATTTCTAATTGCTGCAGTAGCGTAGCTAAGCGCGTAGACGTGTTGCAACGTATTGTGTAGGCAGTTTCACGCTAATCTTAATCGCCGTGATTTGGGTCTGAGCGAAATGAACTGATTTCCAAAACTATTCATACGGCATCTGATTTGCGTGTTTCTGTTATTAATCAGTTCAACATAGAAGTACAAGGTTGTGTGATTGTTGTGCATGATCGTTTCCTCTTTACAGGCACCATAGTGAAACTGCGAGGGCAAGTGCTTTATCAGACGTTCATGGATCAGTCGTTTTGCCTCTTGGCCGGTGGAACAGAATCCTATAAGGAGACAAGCAAGGAAAGTAAGGATTCAGGAAGCCCCGAGAAGAACATTACTAACCGAGTGAGTGTCCATCTTTTTTTCATAGCGTTTTACTTTTCGCGTAGGAATTTTGAGAAATCTCGCGAAATAAAGGTTAACAAAAGACAGACAGACCGATTCCATCCAAATTAGGCGCAGATTCCTTCAGAGTTTGCAATTCAAGCGACCCAGCAGTGCATTGTTTAGTCATTCTCTGTTTAGATTCATAGAAATCCATGTGTCTTCGGAACAGTTGTTGCCTTCCTTTATTTCTTGATACCGAGTTGTTACGATGACAAATCCTTGCGCAATTTACCGATCGGCTAGGTCTAAATGTGATGTAATGTAATGTAATGTATAGGAATGCGTATATATAGCCTATAAGCAATTACTTCGCTCCCATTCAACATCTCTAGTTGATCTAACGTTCCGCTGTCATCTCCTGTTCCAAACGATTCGAAAGTGTAGGAAAGCCAACTATCCAGAATGTTGTTTCGCCACTTCACGACCAGCGCATGAGCTTTATTGCCTACATATCCCACGCTTGTTTCGTCAGGACACCCTAAGTTCAGCGGAGCCATCGTTTAGTCGTGCAGTTCCTTCGCAGTTGTTTTGTTGAGTCCAAAGTAGGCGATCGTTCTTGCCGAAAACGACGAATTGCATGATTGCGACCGCGCTTTCGGTGGGGTTCCTGATGCATCAGATTCCAGAAGAATGAAGTATGCATTTGTCAATTTCTGTTGGCGACAAGTGAAAAATAGGGCACTCTATCAGAGCTGTTAAAAACGTCAAGAATAAGGGAATAGCTTTAGAAACTGCTGTCTCAGAAAGAAAAGCAACTGTAGAAGTGGGCGGATCCCTTCTGTTTGCTGCATCAGTACCGGGTTTATGATACCGTTTCTTTAGAGCATCAATTTCATTTTTTACTAGGAGGAGCTGGTAACTTGACTTGGATTTTTTTCTATCAAAAAATTGGCAGTTTATGGTTGTTATCATCGCAAAATAAGGGCGACTCTTTTAAGTTGAACCACGTGTTGATGGCTTTTATGAGCGAAATGAGCCCTTTGGTTGGGGATGGAATAGCACTTCTTGATCATCATGGGAGATCTCGATTTTCCATCTTTTACCAGTGTTTCGGCCAAACTTGAATTTGAGATTGGGTGTCATGCTGAAATATCACTACTCATGAAACGGTGAGCTTTCTTCAAGCCACTGAAATTTATGTTCAAACATCATAGCGGGATCAGGAAACTGCTGAGGAACTACTTAGTAATCTGGGCCAAAAGCCCAATATGTGGTGAAGAAATATCAGGAGAGAAGTGTTCGGGCTTTTCATGAAAAGGAAATGGTCAACAAGTTTGAATAGCGTCGAAATTGTACATAATTGTAGCGTCGCTCCCTCCCCTCCTCCCAATACCCACGACCCTTTTCTTCAACATACATGGAGATGTTTTTTTATCCAATGCCATTTTTAGTTTACGAGAATGTTGTCGTGTCACGAAACCCTCAAATTTTGATGTAAGATATGGAGGTAATTTCTCACTGCCACGACTGACTTCAGCGTTGAGCTCAAAAAAAAGATATGACTACTCGACTTTTGTTTGCTCTAGGAGAACATGAGTCGGTGATCGGTGGTAAGAGCAGTCCTGTGAAAAAGAAAGCTGGTAAACCTAAATTTATGTTCCTGAAATCACGCAAACAATGGGCAGAAAAGCTTTGGGAAAGTGCAAATTGAGACTTGCCTGTTTCCCCTTATTGAGCACTGACCAGGGAGGGGTAGTCTAATTACCGAGGGACTTTAAATGGAGACCCAGATAAATCGATAGATTTTTGAATGCTGTTTACGAAAATGGAAATTAAAACTGCTAAATGGTTTTCCTTAAAAAGTTATGGGGGCTGGAAATT